TAAATGTGTACACATGATATTGATCATCAATTGTAACTTTTCTATTTTCTGTCAACGATCTGAAAATTATTCAAACATGATAAATGTTGCTTCTCCTGCTTATTCCAAACCTTTAAGAATTTAACAAGTTTCAGTTATCTTTCAAATATATTTGAGCATTAAGAGATGTAACAATCGCAATATTAAATATATGTATTTATTACTATTATAAGATCTGACACACAGTGTATAACGTGTTTTTGTTACTGTTATAAGATCTCACATATAGTGGACATTGATTTAAGCTATACTTATTATTCTGAGTTTTAAGTTATAGTCAATCTTCCATTCCTAAATATAAGATATTGAACTAGTAGCACGTACTATCTGTGCGACTGAAAGGTGTGTGTTATAAACTAGAAAACTATACGTTCATATACATATATAGTGAGCTTAAAACAGCCCTATAACTTGGAATGGAACGAACGTTCTATGACTGTTGGATGTTACAGGTTATTTGAACATATTGTTTTTATAGTTCAAAATTATTACCTACATAACATCCATCTGTTGTAAGAGCTAACAATATCTTTGCGCCACACATCCTCTGCTCTAAGCTATTTTTATTGCTGTTGATAACTCTCTGAGGTGACCCAGAAGTACCCTTGCAATGTCTTTCTTCGTAACATTAAACTTTGTATTTGTTATGTCAACGTTCTAGTGAAAATACTTGAACACTATGTAGTGCTCACAGAAAGAAACGTTTTCTCAAGCCGGTACAAACTAAATAAAGGGTTTCAGTGTCATAAACGTCAGTAGCGTAATTATTGAAGAACGCCCAATTGTGGGCCCGCTTGTAACGTTTAGCTATTCATATTTAAAACGTGTATTTGTTACTACTATAAGATCTCACATATATAGTGTATAACGTGTATTTGTTACTATTATAAGATGTCACATATAGTGTAATAGCGTGTATTTGCTACTGTTATAAGATATCACATATAGTGTATAACTTGAAATATTGTTTTTTCCTTGTTATTTCTTTCTTTCAGAAGATATTTAGAAAAACTGACCTCTTAAAAAGTATATGATTCTAACTGACCACACAGAGTGCGTATAAAGGAAACTAAACATATCGTGAGTATATAAAGGCCACAATTCGCATGTGTATAAAGGAAATTGACCACATAACACGTGTTTCGGAAGTCAACATATGATTCCTACCCATTCAAGAAAAACAACTCTGCATTAGTAATAGATAGGTGCACTCTGTAGATACAACAGGTTTACTGTAATGAGTCATAAATGAAAACATATTGCACAACTTTTATCAGTTCGTTAGCCGACACTTATCAAAATATCCATTCATAGATCAATTAAAGGGAACTAGACCTTTCAGATATTAATCAAAGAACAAAAATCGAGTAATAATAAAATTAAACTACATGTCAAAAACTTGATATGTAACGAACTGATTTAATACATATGACCTATATACAAAAGCATCAACGAATACGTCAAAGATCACTAAGCACGGTAATGCTTAGTATGTAGGGATGAACCGATAAACAATGGCTGCAGCATTCAATCTATTAATATATGATACTAAGAAATAACTGCTAAAGTTGATTTATAACCTTGTTCGGGCACTTAGTTGCCATTATCAAGTCTTGTGAGTCTCCCAATCTCATTAAGAACTGGGAACTAGCTAAAGAGCCAACGTGTTCATCTTTCTTTTTCTTTTCCCACGCCAGCCAAAAAATATGTGAAGTTTTCGCATTGGATTCAGTACGAAAGAAAGACATTTTAAGATTAATTTGAATAGGCTATCACTAAGCATGGTAAGGCTTAGTTTAAGCTGAAAATATCATAATTCTAGTGCAAACGATGTTATAATTACTCCGTGAAATTTGTACAGAAATTTAGTGTTCCTTTGAAAAACTTAAGTATAGTGTGAAACAGGAATTATCAGCCAATAATATATGAACATTAGATGACTATAACATGTAGAATACTCAATGCTTTCTACCCTATACAATCAATGTCTTTAAGGATCCAACCTCTATATTATGTACGAAGTGAAGGAGAAAAAGAAAATCAGTACACATTACATTCAATTTTATTACATAAATCCATAGAATACACTAACTTTCAGTCAGGGAAAAAACACATGTCACAAAACATTTTGTAAATGTAAAATGATGTAGGGATGGCAGAGCCAAAAAAAATGCAAACATTAATATAAGGATGATACAGCTATAGATTTTTATATGTTCTTTCCTAACTCTAAGTTCCTCAACATTAAGTCCCAAGAAGTCAAAAACTATGACCAGTGATGATTAATAATCTATTGTAGCCAATTGTATGGTATAATATCAATATCTGAGGTCATTCTACAAGTGCAATGAAGAAACTGACAAAACTGATATGATATTAACAATATATATTACCAGTGTTTTATAAAAATAAAACAAATGTTCACTTATCAACCTACTTCAAAGAAATTGTTTAAAAAAAGAGGAGCACAAGTAATAAAAAATATTGCAAAAATTAAGTATGATGTAGGGATGGCAATACCAAAAAAATACAGAATCAAGGTAGAGATGAATACCCAAAACCATACAAAAATCACTACATAATTAGCCAAATCTTTCCATGAATAACTTTTATCTACAACTAAATGTTGAATTCCTGTCAGCTGCATGAATTCAGGTTTGAATAAAAGC